GGTTACAGTGAGCTGAGATCAGTTTACTGCACTCCAGCCTGGGCGGCACAGTAAGACTCCATTTCAAAAAAAGAAAAAAAAAACTCTTTTGCCCCTGAGATAATAATCATGAATCTAACTAATACCTTTCTTTTAGAGGTGAAAAAAGGGACTTAGAAAAGCAAGGTTCAGGCTGGGAACAGTGGCTCACACCTGTAATCCCAGCACTTTGGGAGGCTAAGGCAGGCAGATCTCTTGAGGTCAGAAGTTCGAGATCAGCCTGGCCAACATGGTGAAGGCCTGTCTCTACCAAAAATATAAACAATTAGTGACACGAGTCTATGATACCAGCTACTCAGGAGGCTGAGGCAATAGAATCGCTTGAACCCAGGAGGCAGAGGTTTCAGTGAGCCAAGATTACACCATTGCTCTCCAGCCTGGACAACAAAGCAAGACCCTGTCTCCTAAAACAAAAACAACAAAAAACCAAGTATTGGGTTCTCAACCTCAAATATGGTACTTAATTGTTTTAGAGAATGGTGAAGTCATAACTGATCAAGCACTAATAAAGAGAAATATAATGAGTCACAAATGCAAGCCACATATGTGATTACAAATTTTCTGGCTGGGCGCAGAGGCTCACACCTGTAATCCCAGCACTTTGGGAGGCTGAGGTGGGTTGATCACTTGAGGTCAGGAGTTTGAGACCAGCCTGACCAACATGGAGAAACCCCATCTCTACTAAAAATACAAAATTAGCCAGGCATTGTGGTGCATGCTTGTAATCCCAGCTACTCAGGAGACTGAGACAGGAGAAAGGCTTGAACCCAGGAGGCAGAGGTTGTGGTGAGCAGAGATCGCACCATTGCACTCCAGCCTGGGCAACAAGAGTGAAACTCTGTCTAAAAAAAAAAAATTTTCTGGCCAGGCAAGGTAGCTCACATCTGTAACTCCAGGACTTTGGGAGATCAAGCCAGAAGGATCTCTTGAGCCCATGAGTTTGAGACTAGCCTGGGCAACAAAGCAAGACCCCATCTCTTTAAAAAAAAAAAAAAAAAAAAAAGTAGGAGATCATAGGTGCAATGAGACAACACCACACCACTGCACTCCAGTCTAAGTGACAGAGCAAGATCCTGTCTCAAAAAATAAATAATTAAATAAAATAGGCCAGGTGTGGTGGCTCAAACCTGTAATCCCAGCATTTTGGAAGGCTGAGGCGGGTGAAAAGTAGCTGGGTGTGGTGCTGCATACCTGTAATCCCAGCTACTTGGGAGGCTGAGGCAGGAGAATCATTTGATCCCAGGAGGTGGGGGTTGCAGTGAGCTGATATCATGCCACTGCACTCCAGCCTGGGCAACAGAGAAGATTCCTTCTCAAAATACATAAATAAAATAAAACACAAAAATTTTCTAGTAACCAATTGACAATGTAAAAAGAAACAGGTGAAATTAATTTTAGTAATTATTTAACACCATATGTCCAAAATATTATCATTTCAATACATTATCAATATAAAAAAATTGATATTTTACATTCTTTTTTCTTTTTTTTTTTTTTTTT